GAGAGGAATGATCTATTTATTTAAAAATAAGTCTATCTATACTTACTTCATTCAATAACTCATTATCTATATCAAATTTTAACAATTTAACCGTTGAATTAAAAGTTCTTAATACATAGATCAAATTTACATATTTTTAAAAAGTTTGAAAGCTATTTGATACCAAATTTCATTAATTCAAATCAACGTATAAAATATTTTTATAATTATTCGTTAATTTGAATTAATAAAACAGAATATCAAATAATTTTCAATTTTTTTAAAATTTGCAAACTTGATCTATACATTCAAAACATTTAATTCAACAATTAGATGGTTATAATTTGATGTAGAACATGAGTTATTGAATTAAATAAGTTTAAGTAAATTTACTCTTGAAGTAAGTGATCTCTCCTATTATTTTTTTTAATTATATAGATATACAAATTGACCTATTAGATACAATAAACTTTTTTATAAGTTTAAACTCAACATTTTTAAGTAAATATTTTTTTAAAAAAATTTAAGCCTAACTTTTGTATTAAATATGTCATATCAAATCAATCTTTAAATAGATCAAGTCATAAACTTCTATTTAAGAACAGACTTATTAGAAAATGTTACTAAGTAAATTGACTTTAATTTTTTTAAGATAATTTCAAAATGCATTTTACTTTTACAACTTTATATACTCTTAACCTTGGAAGAAGTGACATTAACAATGACACTAATAGAGTAATGGATGTTCATACAACACATGAGTTCCAACACGATGGAAGAATAACCAAACATAAGGTCAAACTCTTTTATAGTAAGATGACAACCTCGTAAAAATGATAGTCATTGATGACAAACTTGATGTCATTAACAAGATTATAGATTATGAAAAATTATCCCTCATCTAAAATCAAATTAACTCAAATTCTAAAAATTTTAAAATTCATTAATTCAAATCAATGTATAAAATATTTTTATAATTATTCGTTAATTTGAATTAATAAAACAGAATATCAAATAATTTTTAATTTTTTTAAAATTTGCAAACTTGATCTATAAATTCAAAACATTTAATTCAACAATTAGATTGTTATAATTTGATGTAGAACATGAATTATTGAATTAAGTAAGTTTAAGTAGATTTACTCTTAAAGTAAGTGATCTCTCCTATTATTTTTTTATATTATATAGATATATAAATTAACCTATTAGATACAATAAACTTTTTTATAAGTTTAAACTCAACATTTTTAAGTAAATACTTTTTTAAAAGAATTTAAGCCTAACTTTTGTATTAAATATGTCATATCAAATCAATCTTTAAATAGGTCAAGTCATAAACTTCTATTTAAAAACTGACCTATTAAAAAATGTCACGTAAGTAAATTGACTTTAATTTTTTTGAGATAATTTCAAAATGCATTTTACTTTTACAACTTTATATACTCTTAACCTTGGAGGAAGTGACATTAACAATGACACTAATAGAATAATAGATGTTCTTACGACACATGAGTTCCTACACGATGGAAGAATAACCAAATATGAGGTCAAACTCTTTTATAGTAAGATGACAACCTCGTAGAAATGATAGTCATTGATGACAAACTTGATATCATTAACAAGATCATAGATTATGAAAAATTATCCCTCATCTAAAGGATTGGAGTTTGGATAAAGGGGTTTAAAGTTTGTAGTGTCAAATTTGAATAGAAAACAGGAACACAACACAAATTAAGGTTTGACTATGGGGAAATACATTTTGTAATTTTGCCTAAATAAATTAAAATTAATTTACCTTCATAACAATAGTAAAGTAAAATATAATTAATATTTTTTTTAAGTAAAGAAACATTATAAAAGATTATGGATGAAACATCAACAAAAAATATTATAAAGACCAAAAATAAAAAATAAAAAATTATGAAAATTATATTTAAGCCTTATTGAGTGTTAAATGTAGACACTTCTTCCTCTAGGGATCCAACCTTTATTCACATCTATGAGACTAATTCCTTTCATCAAATACAACCCCATTGGTGAATTTCGGTGATGTTGATTCTAGTGTCTCTTCCCTCATTTAAAATATATGTTCTTTATTCACATATAGCCACATAGATATAGAACATGTGTTAGCTGATCCATCACATTGCAATTCTGTTTGTTCAACCTTATTTAAAAATAGCCAAGTCCACGATCGGATCTAGGATCTCTGCCGTTTAAAACGAACTGCAAGAAATTTCAATCACAAAAAATGTTCTATTTTGTAATATAATTAAAATTATAAGTTTAAAGTAACAAAGATAAGCCATCTCATGAAAGATGCACCATCCTGCAGTTTTTGAGGATCTTGGTCCTTTCATTTTTCAGTGTAGGCAGATCAAATTTCATCAAAATTTGCTAATAATAATAGAGTTTAAAGTTCAAACTCCTAGGCTGTATAACTAAAGTATAATATTTAATAACATGACTTTACTCCATTCTTTTCATTTTTTCCTCACAAATGGCTAATCTCCCAGTGGAACAATAAAAGTAGGCAAGAATTTTATGGTTGCCTCAGCATTTGTGTTATTATGGTCACTGTCACTACTAACATTTTGAATCAAGCATCAATCCCTTAGAAACTAGTAAAACTCATTTCACTGGAGCTGAACAAGTTATCTAGCCTTCAACCTGCCAAAGGGAATAAAAGTTTTTTCAATGCACAAAATTAAATCAGAGCAATCATGAAAATCATAATAAGAATTAAAAATAATTGCAACTGGAAATTCTCACTCTCTACTCACATTACTAGCAGAATATATGGCAAGTGTAGATGGAAAGAACAAAAATCAACCAAGGTCTTATTTGGATAAACTTCTCTATAATTATTTATAAGAGAACAAAACAATAAGCTAAAACCAACTTGTGCCCTTAACTTTCATAGAAATCTTTACATTTAACTTTTCCAAAAGTTATGGCGCAAATGCTTATAAAATGTAATTCATCTTCTTATTTTCTCCGCCTACAAATGTTTTACCTAAAAATCTATCCAAAGAGAAATGCACCTTTCTGAAGCACAGAATCTAGTTTTAACATCTTTCAAGTGTTGAATATTTAGATTCTAGATTAGCAGTGTTAGAAGTTCAAGTGTTCACTTCAATGTTCAAAAAACAAAGGATTGGTGGGATTTAAAAGAATGTACCCAAAGTTCATGTACTAGACCTGTTTGAATAAATTTCTTCATAAATACATATAAGACAAGAAGATAAAAAGGCATGAGAATTGAACTTTTCTTCCAAGTTAAAATCAACTTGTAACCTTAACTTCAATAGAAGTTATCTCATTTAACTTTTCTAAAAGCTGGAGTGCATAAGTTGAGTTTAATTTATGAAATAAACTGAATTCATTTTAACTTGTTATTTCTTCTCTAATACATGCTCTCTAAGTCTGTTTGGATACGACCCATAAAAACTTTTGAGAGTTTCTAAAAAATAATTAATATTTTCTAGTCCAAAAGCTCTTAAAAATCTTTCTAAGCTGTTATAAGAGCTTCTCGATCAAAAAATACTTTTTATTCTCTCAACGACCTATTTAAATTATATCCAAACATACTTTTAGACAAGTGTATCCACTAACACCTTAGATGCATTCTGTGAAACAAAGATACGCTAGTTTTTCACCGGAAGCAAAACAAATTAAAGAAAATGCAGAGCCTAAACGCTATAGGATTAAGTAAGCAAAATCTGCTAAAGATGCAAAATGCTTGGAGCACGAAATACGATTATCGGAATTGGAAACCCTAAAATGCGAAAAGAAAACAAGAATCGTGAGACCAGGGCAAGGCGTGGTACCTTTATCCGGAGAGGGATCAGAAGAAGAGGATTCGATGCGGGAGAGTCTGGCTTCGAGATTGCGAAAGTGGTGATCGATGTGAGAGGTTAGAGCGATACGCTCCACCAACAGGTCCTTCACAAGAGATTGGGAGAATACGGCATATGTGGATGCGAATCCGAACGTGAACCATAATAATCGACTTCGCGACATCCTTACCTTCTCGATTCTCAGATCTCTCTCTGTTCGAAAAATATAGGTAAAAATAACCTACAATTGCTTTCTATATAATCTTAACTCATTCGCTTTGAATTTTACATAACATTCTAACCTAATCCAATTTTTACCATTCTAATGCCATTTGGATCACATAATTTTTTTTTATTTTATATTATTCTTACTTAATTTTTTTTCCCAAGGAAAGTATTAAATAAATGATAAAAAATTAAATGTTAAACAATTATTTATAAGTAATTATATATTTATATGGTTAATATTACTATATAAATGTTAACGAATTTTGTTAAGTTGTATGAAATTTCCGAACTAAAAAATTAGTTACTATTTTTGACAAATGTATAATTAAAAAAATTAGTTAATAGTAATATAATTTTTCAACATCGAATCTTGTAAACTATCATGATGATGATGCATTAACCCCTTCTAAGCATCCAAGATTTTCTCTTATTCATCTACAAGATTCACTTGCATATTGTATTTTGCTCTAACATTTTTAAGAATATAAAATAGACATAATAAGTTGGTTAGAGTTTAGGGTCTTATCATGTACCTAGATGTAGCTTAACCAAACTCAAAGATTCCATACTTAGTCACCAAGTAACATCTAGGGTTAATTTATGTTTCATTTGAAGTGTATTTGGCTTGCATTTTTCAGCCAAACACTCTCAAATATAACCCTAAATGCATCCTCCCATCTATAAATACTCTAGGCTAGCAACCTTGTAAATACTTTAGAAATTGAATATAGAGAGAGCCTTTGAGCCTTTATATTTTCCTTAGACTCCTTGGCTATTTTCGGCAACCTTCTTACCTATCTCCACCTTGAGAGAAAAACCCTAGAAATGACCTTCAACTACCTTGGAGTGAGTCAAACCTAGAGTGCACCTCTCAATCATTTCATTAAACACCTCACCCGCAACTTCCATTTCCGCCCCTTCCTCCATCAATGACGCCCTTGAAGGACTTGATCCAAGGAGTTCAAAGCATCCCTTGCCATTGTTCATCATCTCTTCTTCAATGGAAGCAAGGATGCCATCACTTTATGGACGGGTCACATAAGTTCTAAAACACATAGGAAAATGCTGATATGGTGAAATGCTAATTTCCTGATTTACAACATGATAAACATGAGGTGTTGTCATACAATTTTGTAACGAGGGTCTCACAATCATAATATACACTTTTATATTGGTTTTTGTTTATAAATATTCCTTTTAATTTTTATTTATTTATTATAAACTATAAAATTACAATGACTAAGTTATCTTATATAACAAATTCACTAGTGACATGCATACAAATTAGAATGTTGTCCCATAAAATGTCTAAACTAATTTTATAACTAGCTAAAATAAAATAAAAGGAAGTAAAATCAAGAAATATTGAAAGAAAAAAAAAAGTAGATATAATTACTTGTGAAGAAATTAAAAAAAAAAACAACAGTTTTTAATGTGTATTTCTTGTGCCCAAAGTTTATGTTATGTTGCTGTGTCATGTGCAAGAACAAGTTCTTGTGGCGGTTTAGTCCGAGATTCAAATCGTAGGTGCATTCTGGCATATTCAAGGAAACTAGACCACTACCTATGCTTTTCCACAAAAAATGACTAGTCACTAACTGTGCTTTTCCAATTTCTCTTAACAAATCACTAGTCACTCGAGTCATACCTAATCTCACACTACTAGGGGTCACCTCACAAGTCAAACTCAAGTCTCTAAATTGAGCCAAAAGGTCCATCTCCCTAATCATAAGAGAAGAAAAATGCAAAGATTTCCTACTTAAAGCATCAGCCACCACATTGACTTTGCTTGGATGATAACTAAGATCAATATCATAGTCCTTAAGGAACACTAACCATCTCTTCTGCCTCATATTTAATTCTTTTTGGTCAAATAAATACCTAAGACTCGTATGATCACTAAACACCTCAAATTTTGAACCATACAAATAATGTCTCCAAATCTTAAGTGTGAATACCACAACTACTAATTCAAGATCATGGGTGGGGTAATTCTTCTCATGTATTTTCAATTGTCTAGATGCATAAGATACAACCTTTCCTTCTTACATTAACACTCCACCCAAACCCATCTTAGATGTGTCACAATAAACCACAAAAGTCTTACTAAGGTTAGGCAACACTAAAACAGGTGCACTAGTCAACTTCTCCTTAAGGGCTTGGAAACTATTCTCACATTTACTATCCCACACAAACACAACTCCCTTCCTAGTTAAATTTGTCAAGGGTAATGCTAGCTTAGAAAATCCCTCTATGAATCTTCTATAGTACCCAGCCAATCCAAGGAAGCTCCTAACCTCACTAACTGACTTGGGTGCCTCCCACTTAAGCACCGCCTCAACTTTAGATGGATCTACTGCTATACCCCCACTGGAAATCACATGTCCTAAGAAACTCACTCATCTAGCCAAAAATCACACTTAGACAACTTGGCATAAAGTTGTCTCTCCCTAAGAGTTTGAAGTACTACCTTTAAGTGTTCCTTATGTTCCTCTTTAGTCTTGGAATAAACTAGTATGTCATCTATGAAGACAACTATAAATTTATCCAAGTACGGATGAAAAATTTGGTTCATGTAATCCATAAAAATTGTGGGAGCCTTCATCACACCAAAAGGCATTACTAGATACTCATAATGTCCATATCGAGTCCTAAATGTTGTCTTGGGTACATTCTAACCCTTAACTCTAATTTGATGGTACCCGAATCTAAGGTCAATTTTACTAAATACACAAGCACCCACCAACTGATCCATAAGATCATCTATCCTAGGCAATGGATACTTATTCTTAATGGTTACCTTATTCAATTGGCGATAATCTACACACAATCTCATGCTACCATCCTTCTTCTTAACTAAGAGTACGGGTGCTCCCTAAGGTGATACACTAGGCCTCACAAACCCCTTCTCCAACAAGTCCTTTATTTGTTTCTTAAGCTCCACTAACTCTACGGGTGACATCCTATAAGGTGCAATATAAATAGGTCATGTTCCTAGTACTAACCTTATGGAAAACTCTACTTCTCTTGTAAGTGGTAAGCTAGACATATCATTAGAGAAGACATCTGAAAAGTCACACACAACAGGCAGTTCATTCACCAAAATATTACTCTTAGAATTCAAAGAAGCTAACAACATGTACACTTGGGCATCCTCTTGCAAAGATACCTAAACTTGGTTGGCAGTCAAATAGTCCTTACTCACCTTTTCAACAGGCTCGCCAAAAATAATAGATTTAATAGCACAATTTAAAAGGACACTTTAAACAGTCCATTCCCAAAATAACATCTAGCTGACTTAGAGGAAAAAAAATTAAGTTAACCATGAAATTTCTACCATCAATACTCAAAGGACACTTTAAACATACATCAGAAGTAGAAACTGAACAACTAGTTGGTGTCTCTACTATTAATTCAAAAGACAAGGAAGAAACAGGTAATTTTAACTTGGACACGCACGCATGTGATATGAAAGAGTGAGTCGCACTGGAGTCATAAAAAATAATTAGAGGAGTTCCATTGATGAAACACATACCCTGGATTGAGTCTTCGGATTGAGTAGCTTCAGCACCATTCAAGGCAAACATCCTTCCTGTCGCCCTAGGTTTGTTAGCGCTCCCTCCAACCTCTGTTGTTCCTTTCTTGTTCTTGGGACATTCATTAGCTTTGTGTCGCTTCTCTTGACAATTGAAACATGTTATTACTCTTGGAATCCAACACTCAATTGCCCTATGACCTGGCTTCCCACAGTTGAAGTAGTTGTTGCGTAGAACGGAACCCACACTCCCCCTCTAGAAGTTTGGCTAGTCATTGGAGCTTGACTCTTTTGTTGCACAGAACCTTGGTTATTCACTTTAGAACTCGAATCCCCGATAGACTTGGCATAAGGTTTACCCTTACTAGATGAACCAAACTTATTATGATTCTTCATGGGTCCTCCACTCTTATAATGATTTACTCTAGCACGGTTGTCTTCATCATAGACTCGACACTTGTTTACCAATTTATGATATTGAGTGATCCCTTGGTAATTGAAAACTTGTTTGATCTAAGGGCGAAGACCACTCACAAACTTCACACACTTGTCCTTTTCATTACCCACACCATCATACATGAGAAGAATCTAATCAGGTCTTCAAACTTAGTCACATACTCAACCACAGCATCCTCTCCTTACTTCAACTCAAGGAATTCCACCTATTTCCTATGTCTCACATCTCGTGGAAAGTATTTCTCCAAGAATAGCCGCTTGAAATTCTCCCATTTCACTTGGGTCCCTGCAGCCATCATTCTTTGCAAAGCACCTTGCCACCAGCCCCTAGCCTCTCCCGAAAGCATGAAGGCAGCCAAAGTCACCTTCTGCACCAAAGGGCATCCTGATGGAGGACCATCCTTGGTACTTCACTTCATGTGAGCTAAGTCAAAAATTGGATATAGACCCTTGTATGGCTGAAGCAGTATAGATTAATGTGCAAATTCTCTCTTAACCTTCATATCTTGATATAATTCTTCTTAAAATTGGTAAAAATAATTTCAAGATGTTAACAATTGTTGATTCAAATTCTGAGTATTGTGTATGCAGTTTGGTAATAAGTGAAAAAAGGAATTATTAAAATCCATTTGGATTACAAGAATTTGTTCCCCTGTGTAATAAATTTGATATTATGTATCTTAAATTGAATTGTAATCTGAATGTGATTAACTGAAATTGGTCTAAGAAAGTAAAGAATTAAAAGGAAAACACCTTTTTAGACAAATTGATGGAGAACCATCCTTGAAGACCATAGGACCTTTGACAAGGTCTATGGCTAGAGGAAGCTACTAGAGAGGTTGTGCATCATGAACATAGAGTATATGTTCTCCCAGTTGCTTAGTCTTTTATTATGTATATTGTGTATAGGTTATTTTTTACCTTGTATTTTGGGTCAAGTAGTATAAGAATTTTTTTCCTTGTATAATTTTTCTTTAAGGATGTAATTAGTAGTTTAGGGAAGGTGTAACTAACTAAAGTCATGATGGACTTCTTTGGACTTGGATGACCCAAATCTTTTCATGGCCCATAGGTTTGGACATTCACTTGCTCATGCAAGTGGCTTATACGTCTAAACCTAATTAATCTAACCATCCAAGTTGTTAAATAAGTCATATGGATTTTGATAGTGACATCTCAACAACTTGTTATAAGTAATCATTAGTTTGGTAGTTGTAATGATTAGGTTAGGTAGTTAGAGTTAACTTAAGCTAACCTAGGTTATTTCTAAACTAGGATTAGTTTAGCTTACTCCATAAGTTTCTAGATACTTAACTAGGGTTGGTTAGCTTAAGTACAAGATAGTTGATCATGGTTACACTTAACCATGGTTAGTATAATTTGTAGCATAAGCCAACCAAATTCTATACATTGTTTTTCTCTTGTATTGGCCAAATTAAGCTTTTATTGAATTGGATGAAATTTTCTCTTTAATCCTTTCTCTCAAAGCTTGTTTCTCTCTTTGAAAATTCTTCCTTTTCTCTTATCCTCTTAAGTGTGGTCAAAATTTGAAGAGACTTATCATTCTTCAAGAGTGTGGTGTCACCTAAGGGAGATCCTACCTTCTCTTATGTGTTAGAATTGGCTTCTATATCATCATTGGAAGCCATTAAAGGAGTTTGAAGGAGTTCAAGAAGCTAAAGATCCATCCAAGAAGCTTGAAGGAGAAGCTACATTAATCTAGTATCTCCAAAGGTTTTACATCACAAATTAATGGCATTGATGTTATCATAAAATATAGGTATATTATTTTCAAGACTAGAATAGTCTTCTAGTTGATACTCGACCCATAACAGTTGTTAGCAACATACAGCTGCTGGGATATACTCTCCCTATGCAATTGAAAAAGTTATGGAGTTTTGTTTTTTTCTTACCCAAAAGATAAGGCAGCTTCCCAAGATTTGATAGCTCTACTTGTACTCTTTCTTTCAATCCTATCTACAACATAGTCAACATCACAAAATTCTTCTAACCTGAAATTATTATTTCTTTCATATAACAGATGAGGTTAGTAGAACCTGCAAGATATCTGAATATTCATTTAACAACTTTTAAATGTGACTCTTTGGGATCAGATTGAAATCTAACACACAGACAAATGCTTGTAGTCAGGTAGAGTAGAGATTCAATCATACCTTTGTAGATCATCTGATCTACTAGTTTACCTTATTCATATTTTGACAGACTTATAGACAAATGCATGGGTGTTGACATTGGCTTGCAGTCATTCATTCCAAACTTCTGAAGAAGTTCTATAGTATATTTCTCTTGATGAATGAAAATGCCTTCGTCTATCTACTTGATTTGAAGTTCTATTAAGAACTTCAACTTGCCCATCATGCTTATCTTAATTTTTTTTTTTGCATTAACTTGGAAAAGTCCTTAAAAAGAAATCCATTAGTAGCACCAAAAGTTATATTTTCAACATATATTTGAACTACAATGAAATTTGTTCCAGACTTTTTTCTAAAGAGATTTGTGTCAACTTTACCTCTCACAAAATCATTGCTAAGTAAAATGTTACTTGGTATATCATACCAAGCTCTAGGGGCTTATTTCATACCATAAAGAGTCTTTTTAAGTTTGAAAATGTGTTCTCTAAAATTAGGATTTTTAAAACCCGAAGGTTGTTTGACATACACTTCCTCCTCAATTATTCCATTTTAAAAGACACTCTTTACATCCATTTGAAAAGCTTTATGTTTTTGTGAGTTGTAAAAGCTAACATGACCCTAATAGCTTTAAGTCTAGTAATACAAGTGAAGGTTTTAGTGAAATCAATACCTTCATACTGATTGTAGTCTTGAGCTACCAATCTAGCCTTATTCTTTACAACTTTATCTTGTTCATTTAGATTATTTTTTAATACCCATCTAGTTCCTATGAAGAAAGATAAAAGTGCCTAAAAAATACAAAGGCAAAAATAAGGTTATATATGTATCTACTGTGTACAAGGAAAGTACTTAAACTATACAAAGTATATGCCAGTGACTATGAGACTAAGTAGAGGAAACATACTCAATACTCATATAAAACATAGGTCTAAGAATCACCTTCTCTCTAAAAGCCTTCTCAAGCCTCCTAACCATGGACCTATTTAAAATGGCTTTCAAGTGTGAGCTTCCTATGGATGATCCTCCATCAATAAGTCTTTCAATAAGGAATATATCATATGTCAGTTTTCAAAAGCAATCTTTCATCTATAAAAAAAGACTTTTTCTTTTCAAAAATGTGTTTATCAACATTAAAAATGGAGAGATTGTTAAGTCAAAAGACAATCTTAAATCTCTTAGCTATAAGTTTTAATGATAAATATAAGCATTTTTAGAGAAATTTTTTTAAACCATTCAATAATATGAATTCTCTATATAAGACGAATGCATTAAGACGATTCATTATCTTAACATAAGTGTCTATTAGACAAAATACTTCATCAATAAGACATTTACTTTGAATTAATATTATTTATGATATTTGATAACTAAAAATCAATCTTTGTGTATATTATTCTTTAATATATTGAAGCAAAATAACTTCCTCGATACTTGTAATGGCAAAAGAAAAGAAGGACATGATTTAGCAAATCTTATGAATCACAAAAAACCTAAAAAAAAATTGTTTTGAATTGACACACGTATGACCCCATTTGTTTGGCATCTAAAGGGTGATAAGTAGCTTCTTTGATTAAATAATAAGTGACAATTTGGTGAAACACATTTAATGCAAGCAACTAATGCATCAACAGATACTTCTCTCCACAAGGAATGAAAAACTGAAGACAAACGAAGCAAGCTTGTGAGAAATGTTCAAGAATTTGCAATGGTCATCTTCATTAAAGCCTTATAAAAGGAAGTTTGAAATCCAAAAAGACATAGATAACACATTTTGTAAAAATCATATCCATTCTTCCTTTAAAAAGGCTTTGGAATTAATTGGTTGTATCACATCTGAATAGTAAGACGAAACAACATTGTTAGTTTACTCAGCTTTAATTTATGTTATTGCTTTGAGTCTGAAGAAGCTAGTTTGTTAAAGAATACTCGTGTTTTGAGCCTAAAGAGGCCCAACTAAAAAAGAATATTTGGGTGTTTGAAGTTTGGAGAGACTTTTCATTTAAGAATACTTGGGTAGTTGATTGAAGAGACAAATCAAACAATATTTAGGTTGAGCCAAAAGTGGTTTGTGAAATAATACTTGTATCTTTGCAAAGATAATGGAACTTGATCAAGTTTGACCAAAAACTAAATGCAATCTCAATGGTTGAGATGAACCAATATAAAACACTTTATGTTCTTTTGATTAGCTTTTCGTCTCCATATCTATTCGTTTCATACTACTTCATTGATTTGAAAAAGTGTGAGCTTTTGATAAATACTATTCAACCCCCTTCTAGTGTCTTTCTTTTTTTCTCGCATACGCAGAGTGTGTACATCCTGCTCTCCTCTTTATTTGGGACTCGATATGGCGAAAAAAGCATGGTATGCTTGAAAGTAACTCTCAACTATGTTTCTTTTCACATTGGTGGTAGCTTTCTCGAACAACCAGAGCCAATTGGTA